CTGTCTGATTACGATTACTTACGTAAGATTGAAACCGTGGATATACTAAAGAAATATCATTCAGGAGCTTCCTTTTAGGGTGCCGTAGCTCCTTTAGGAGACATTTCTCGTCTCATATTCATTGAAACTTTTCTTCCTATTTTTTATAGTAGAAGCCGCTGGTGCATTTTGGCAGGCTAATTTTGGGACACCCTGTATAACCAAGTTTCAGAGTAATTCGTTTACGAATGCAGATGTTACGTCATCGGTATTTTTTTAATAGCAACCACATTTCACCAAAGCACTGAATATCAGACGCACTGTATATAAACCATGTGTGAAATATTTTTGAATCTAGGTCTAGGGTCGTGTTTCATATTGGAAATTTGTCGTGGACGTCATAGCTCAAACGTAGATCCCTATATCCTCAATTCGCCCTCATAAATGTGGCAAATTTTTGGATCGATGACTCGATCCAACGAAGATGCCGAAAATATAAAAATATAAACTGGTTGATCCATTTGAAAACGAAACAGCGGGTCTGTAGTCGACAGAACCGGATTATAAGAAACTGCTGGAACATGTCGACTACATTTTCGAAGTGGACATTGTTCTAAAATATTTTCAGCGCTGCGGCGTTGCCGTTTCTATCGAAAAGTAGCAACAAATTTGTTATTTCGAATGGAATAGGTACCCTGTATTTCATTGCATTCTCAGATTCTTCCTGAAGAGTTTGTAGGCTACTCACATATTATACCTACATCTTAAGTCGTTATCATAGTGATGTAATTGCAGATGTCTTAACCATGACGATTTAATAAACATCATAATTTTGATTACCAAAAAGGTACATCTTTGGTATTATTTATTATAGGATTATATCTTAATAATTATCTTAACTCCTATAAGTTGATTATCAATATATCACAGTTGAGGGTCTAGTAGAGATATAGGGGGTGTTCAAGATATTTCATCTTAAAGATTTTTTGTGTGGAAACTATCAATTATTATCGATCAAGGCGGTTTTCATGTCCCTATTTCAACTTTCAATTCACTCCATACTTTAACTTTTAATTCACTTTATACTACCAATAATGAACAGTTTCGACACAAAAAAATCCTTAAGTTAAAAAATCTGAATTTTTAACACCCTGTATATCTCTTTAATCATTCTCGCTAGACCCAAGGTTAGACCCTAAGTTTGATACATTGCTACAATCAGCACTTTGGGAAGAATCTGAAAGTGCAATAAAGTACAGGGTTTTCCATGTGAAATAATTAACATGGTTGTTGCTACTTTTCGATTGAAGCGGCAATGCCACAGCGCTGGAAATATTTCGAAACGATGTGTCCCTCGAATATGTAATTGACTTGTTCCAGCGTTTTTTCATAATCTGGTTCTGTCGATCTAACGAGCCGCTGTTTCGTTTTTTAATGGCCACCCTGTATGGGGTGTTCCATATGGAAAAAAAGGGTACTTTTTTTTAAACTGACGATACCGAAAACAGAATAATCAGAGCCCACGTTTTTGAGATACAGGGCGAAATCGGAAATTGATATACCAAAATATTGAAAATATTGCCACACTTTTACAAGACGGATCAATAGGGAATATACTGAAATATTGTAAATTATCTCAAATCAAAGCTGATACTCAAAATATCGTATAAGTGTTACAAATTTTTCTAAAGCGCAATGCATCAATGTTTCAAATATGGAAGAAATACAGGATGTTCCATTTTTAAAAATATAGTAGGTGTCTATCGATCTCGGTCATTCTTTGGGGAATAGAATATGTCGCATTCGCAATTTGCAATTCAATATATACCGAATATTTCTTCACAATTTCATATTTGTTATGGAAGACGATATATCATAAAAAAAATTTCGATAGTCATCATTATGTCTTGATGGAGACACGACAGGTACCCTTACGAGGGGAGAGTATCAACCCTTGTCGTCGGTAAACTCTCTTTACAACCGAGGTAGGCGCCTTATGGCGCCTATAGGTATATACAGTATCTTTCATTTAGGAGAAAATTGTTGGTTATTGGTTCCGGTCATTTTTTGAGTTGTAGAATATGTCATATTCCAGCAGAGGAATTTGAAAACAGTCTTCGTAAATATATCAGTTGCCAATTCCATGTAACTCTCATAATTTGAATTACCAATTTATTCAATGATCGAAATCTAATATCCACTATGTTTTAGATCGAAGAAGCAACGTGGTATGAATCGACCATTTGAGTCCAACGAAGAAATGATGGAAAGAATAGGAAACCAGACCAGAAACCAGATATCGATGATGAGTAACCCAATTCTGTTTCGTATCATATTCAATATATTCCGAATATTTCTTCAAAATCTTATGATCGAAATCTAATACCTCCTATGTTTCAGATCAAAGAAGCAATGTGTAATGAATCGACCATCTGAGTTGAACGGAGAAATAATAGAAAAAATAGGAAAACAAACCAGAAACCAGCGATCGAAGATGAGTGTCCAATCTCTGTTTCGTATTATATTCAATATATTCCGAATATTTCTTCAAAATTTTATAAGTGTTATGGAAGGCGATATATCATTCAAAATTTTTCGATAGTCATCATTATGTCTTGATGGAGAACGACAGGTACCCTTACGAGGGGAGAGTATCAACCCTTGTCGTCGGTAAACCCTCTTTGCAACCGAGGTAGGCGCTTTATGGGTTAGGTATATACAGTATCTTTCATTTAGGAGAAAATTGTTGGTTATCGGTTCCGGTCATTTTTTGGGTCATAGAATATGTCGCATTTCAGCAACGGAATTTGGGAACAGTTTTCGTAAATATTTCAGTTGCCAATTCCATGTAACTCTCATAATTTGAATTACCAATTCATTCGATGATCGAAATCTAATATCCACTATGTTTTAGATCAAAGAAGCAACGTGCTATGAATCGACCATTTGAGTCCAACGGAGAAATGATGAAATTAATAGGATACCAGACCAGAAACCAGCGTTCGATGATGAGTTACACAATTCTGTTTTGTATTATATTCAATATATTCCGAATATTTCTTCAAAATTTTATATGTGTTATGGAAGGCGATATATCATAGAACATTTTTCAATGATCATCATTATGTCTTGATGGAGACACGACAGGTACCCTTACGAGGGAAGAGTATCAATCCTTGTCGTCGGTAAACCCTCTTTGCAACCGAGGTAGGCGCCTTATGGGTTAGGTATATACAGTATCTTTCATTTAGGAGAAAATTGTTGGTTATCGGTTCCGGTCATTTTTTGGGTTAAAGAATATGTCGCATTTCAGCAACGGAATTTGGAAACAGTTTTCTTAAATATTTCAGTTGCCAATTCCATGTAACTCTCATAATTTGACTCACCAATTTATTTAATGATCGAAATCTCATATCCACTATGTTTTTGATCAAAGAAGCCATATTTTATGGATCGACCATTTGGGTCCAACGAAGAAATGATAGAAAAAATAGGAAACCAGACCAGAAACCAGCTATCGATTATGAGTAACCAAATTCTGTTTCGTATTATATTCAATATATTCCGAATATTTCCTCAATATTTTATATTTGTTATGGAAGGCGATATATCATGAACAATTTTTCGATAGTCATCATTATGTCTTTATGGAGACACGACAGGTACCCTCACGAGGGGAGAGTATAAACCCTTGTCGTCGGTAAACCATCTTTGCAACCGAGGTAGGCGCCTTATGGGGTTAGGTATATACAGTATCTTTCTTTTAGGAGAAAATTGTTGGTTATCGGTTCCGGTCATTTTTTGGGTTATAGAATATGTCGCATTTCAGCAACGGAATATGGAAACAGTTTCCGTAAATATCTCAGTTGCCAATTCCATGTAACTCTCCTAATTCAAATTTCCAATATAATTAATAATCGAATTCTAATACCTACTATGTTTTAGATCGAAGTAGCAACGTGTTATGAATTGACCATTTGAGCCCAACGGAGAAATGACAGAAAAAAGAGGAAACCAGACTAGAAACCAGCGAACGATGATGAGTAACCCAACTCTGTTTCGTATTATATTCAATATATTCCGAATATTCCTTCAAAATTTCATATTTGTTATGGAAGGCGATATATCACAGAAAATTTTCCGGTAGACACGACAGGCAAAAAAGTTGTATGCGGAAGCACCAAATACATTCAGTCTCACTTATTTTTTCCTGCTCTTTCTAAATTTGTAAACGAGATTCTGAACTCGAAACCTACTTATTCATTTTTTCAAGGCCGGCCCTGGGATAATTTTTTTCCATTATGTCAATCGTCACCACTGTAGACAAAGAATCACCCTGTATAGAGCGCACATACTGTCAATTAAATTAGAAGTTTTGTTTATATGGAATAAATGTTTTTGGGTCGTAGATTGGGGTTTGGAACATGTATGTTTATTCAGGATAGTAACAGAATATTTTCTGTATCATGACTTTTTAATTTGAGAAAAAATTTCAATCTCTGAATCACCCTTCTCATTTCTAACTTGGGAATATTGAATTCTATTCATAGGATGCACGATCAGGACACCTTCGATATTTTTTGTAGTGTAAAAAAATATGAATCGATTTTGTACCGTTTCTAGCCATTTAATGAGTTGTTGATTTCCTGGGTCGAATATCTATGCACAAATGTAACAATAATTTCCCTATCCTCGATAGGAACCCATTATGTTTTTCGAACATTATACGGATTCCCTTTCGTGCGGTCCAGGCGATAAAAAAATAACATTTTTCACTACTAGCGCATCAAAGTAGGATAAAACAATTGAGGGGTACTAACTGATAACATACCATACATGATATAGTTATTTGCAAATAACTCGAAGACAAACAAAGATATCGAATCGCGGTTCGCGCCAAAATGTAGCTGTTTGATATTCAATAACCTTGTTGAAGCTGATTGAATATACAGAATATTCCAGGAGATAAGACGTCCTCTGAAGTACCTATATGCATTTGCGTTATCCATAACAATACTTACTTAATTTGCTTCCAGAATAAGCTGCTTTTCCCAATATTTCATTGAGGCATATGACGTCACCGAATCCCAAGTTCACACCCTGGCCCGCCAATGGGTGAATTCTGTGCGCAGCATCGCTGAAAAGACAAATCAATAGTAGGTACAGACAGATCAAAGTAGACCAGCCAAGGAACTAATCTACCGATCATGGTTCAGACAAAGATACAAGGATGGGTGCCACTGGTACATTGAATTGGAAGGTCAGTTCGTGACCAAAAAAGACCTTGGGGACGCCTTCGTACATTTGAATATGCACGGAAACCGAAATATGTCAAACAGAAGATCTAAATCATTGTGATTACGCCGAAATTTCATGGAAACATATTCTAGAGCAAATAAGCTATAACCTCAATTTCAGAAACTTATAATGACGCAATGACGGTTTCAAATTTTAGAACTATAACATTGTCGATATAGAAACTGGTAGATTCTTGAGGCACAACCTTATCGTTTCTGGCTCACATTTAAAGTCATATAATAATATACTAAAGTCAAACTATTTATTCTTCAATACGATTGAATATCCTTCTTATTCACTTCATTCCAGTGTTTTATAGACTTCTGGCTATGTTTTTGGAAATTTGGATGAACTACTATCAGAAAAATATTCCCTAACAACTCTTTCGATTTTGAGTGAATAATATAGTACATTATACATCAAGCAACAGAAATGCAAGATTCTGTCCAAGGTGCGATTAGCTCGAGAGCGAAGCACGAGAGATACAAAGCACCGAGGAAAAAGTAGCATTGTGTCCTGAGGTGTATATACTATTTTTTACGCTGGCGAAAACACAAAAATTAAGAAAAAATGAAAATTTGGTCAGAGTGTTATGTCATAATTTATGAAATTTATGAAAACAGCTTTGAAAATGATTTACGGTTATGGAACAAGAAATCGAGGAAGAACCCCAAGAAATTGCTGACACTGCTTCTGCAGTGATTCTTAACTTGCTACCAGTGAAATCTAGAAATCTGTATGATGCAGCTTATACTCGCTTCAGAGAAGGGTGTTCCGAAAAGAAAGCGTAGAGCTATGCGGAAAATGTGAAGTGGGTATAAACTCCCTAGGGAGAAAATACGTCACATTTCACATTATCTTCCTAGGGAATAATACGCCTCTTCTGCCCCTCTTTTGTTACCAGAGGAAGTAACTTCTACTCCCTTCTACTTTATAATACCTCGACAACGGTTGCCCTAACGCCCGTTAATCGTTTTTTTCTGTAGTTTATAAAATCACATACCAATTCTTGAAAGTACGTCGATAACACGGTCTCGTCTATGGCAATCATTCAATTTCTCAACTTCCATTGATTGAATAGTTCATAATCCTCGTCGTATATAACACGAGTATGGATTTCTCCGGCAATAAATTAATCGAAGCCTTGTCTGCATTTTTTATGATATTGTCACGCCTATATACTTTTGGGGCAGCACAATAATACAGGGTGGTGTCAAGATAAAAGCCAGAATCCTTTTTTCTGTTTCAACCTTCGTAATACTTGTACCCCAAATTGGTATGTTTTCGTGGTTTATGGCGATAATTTTTGTTGCGTATCAATATATCCGATAATCCTCTCAAATATGCCCTGTCTATGTATTTTCTAATCGTTATGTAGAATATCAAATGAAAAAAAACCATGCCATTCAGTATTTTCAGACGTTCAAAGTAGATGTGGAACAAAAATACCCCAGTTAGTAATGTACGTATACTCGGCGAAAATCTGTAGCAGACAAGTTAATTCCTGTCTTCTTTCGAGTTCAGATTTGCAGGATCTCTTTCGCTCACAATGATTTCGACTCTCATAGTGTGAATAACAATCTGCTTGGTTATTCGTGTGTTAGCGTGACCATATGGTTACGGTCGTTCCTGACTTAGGTCACAGTTAAAAGAATACAAATAAATTGTATTCTTTTAACTGTGGTTAGGGAGTCGTCCAGTAGTTCCAGCAGGTGAAAGGTCATCTGGACGTTGTACTCTTTGTCGTCGGACAAATGATCGGAAAACCCGTAACAAATGTGAAATTTGCGGACAGTTTGTTGGTGTAGAACACAGCCAGAAGAAAATGATATGTAACACATGTAATAATTGATATCTCAAAACCTTTATTTTATAAGTTGATTTTTATATTTTGTATTAGTTTTGTACTGCATACTCTATAAAACTTATTGCGATATATTTGGACAAAATTTGTTATTTGTGCATTTTTTAAGTGAATATCATATAATAAAATTAAATATTATAAATTAAATATATATGAAAACATCAAGGTGGGGTACAAAAATACCCCATAGTGATGTAGGGGTATTAGAATTACTCAGCATCACGATGGTTAATTGACTTGTCTGTCAGATGGTGAATTAACAAGTGAAGTACATTTCTAACATCATGTTTAACATAAGTTTACAAGTAACATAATCATGGCACCCCTTCGCACCCCGTACGCCGGTGCTGAGTCAGCATAGACGTCGTCCGTGTAGCAGTGGCATAGGCAGTGGCGTACGCGACAATATTCTTGGGTAAATTCGAATTCATTTCCATCATTTCAATAAGACTACACGACGAAAGCAGCAATGACACTCACTAAATTAAATGATGCCAGCAATATTCAACAAACGTCAAGATATCAACGAATGCCATGCCTACCATGAGATGAAAACTGGAAAGAAAATGCTAGGAGCAATTTGCCGCTTTGTAAAATGGATATTTCATTATAATAAGATAATTTTTTCATGAAAAATAAAATCTTGTAAGCACCACGAGCGTTACTATAGATATACTGGGTGTATTTAAATAACACCAAAAAAATTCAAGGGTTGATTCCTTTTGTGATATTCTAGCCAATGAAGTTCATATAAACATGTGTCCTAACTTGCTCCGTTTTTGAGATACAGGATGTTGACGTAGGAAGTATTAATTGTTTTTATTTATAACCCCCCTGTATAAGCTTTCATGGTGAAAAAATGCAGTATGGTTGGAGACTGAGGGAGCCTCAAAATTTCAAAATGATTCTAATTGGGGTTATCTCAATGGAAGTCTTGAAAACACGCTTACATTGAAATTTGGAGTCAAATCGAATTTTTATTGTATCCTCAAAAATTAAGCTAGATACAAAAATTACATAAAGAATAAAAACATTGCTATTTCAATAGTTCAATCTAATAAAAATATGAAACTCAGAATAACCGGTGGCGTACAATGATATTCACCATGAATATCGATAATTTTACCCACTGTGACGCCACTGGAGATAATATTTCGAATCTTATTGCACCAGAACAAGCTCCACAACGTTTTATTCAAATTGATGAAAAGACAATTGAGTAACGAATAAAAAAAAACGATTTTTCATGGAAATATTAATACCCTGAAAACGGAGCAAGTTAAGACACATGTTTATATAAACTTTATTTCCTAAAATATCACAATCAATCACCCCATGAATTTTTTCGGTGTTATTTAGATACACCCTGTATAACGCACTTGGTACATAAATAACTAGGTAATTCAGTTATATCTTCCAAGTATCGAAATTCCTGTTCAATAAAAACAAGTTCAAAATATTCGATATTTATTCATTAATATACAGGCTGACTGACAAAAACCGCCAAAAACCACATGGCGCCGCTATTACAAGAACGATAACGAAATTACTTCAAATATCCTATGAGTAGGATCTGACCATTATTCTACTTGACGCCTAGTCATGCATAAAATATATAAACAACCCTACAGGCCTTTTTTTCCTCGAATCAACAGAGAGACAATTTCAATATTTTCAATACCCAAAAAAATATACAGAATGCAACAAAAAAATGCATAAATGTCAAACGTCAAACACTCTATAGATATATTTTCTCACCAGTAGAAAGACCTCTCGAAGAGCTCTTCAAAAATAACCCACCCATAATATCGGCATTAAAAACCAACAGAGTATCATAAATTTTTGAATGATTCTCAAAAGTATGAAATATTCCAAAATTTTTCATTTTCAATCGCTACCACAGTTTTTAATACTTTAATATCATCAATGAGAAACTACTCGACTTCATTCTGTTTGAAAAAATAAAAAAAAATGCGATCCTGCCAGGATTCGAACCTGGAATCTTCTGATCCGTAGTCAGACGCGTTATCCGTTGCGCCACAGGACCTTAAATAAAACAGAACGTACTTCTATAGTTATACTACAATGACGGATAGTGAAATAAAATTGAAAGTCGATTGTTTTTTAGGAATATATAAGAAAGAGAAAGCACTAACTAGTTTACTTTATTTGCTTCTAGAATATCTTTTGAAATGATCGAAAAGTTTTATGTGAGCAATGATGAACGAGGCGAGGCGAGGCAAAGAAAAGCTAAGAGAAGTCAAACACAAGGGATTAAAATAATAATAATAATAATAATATAATAATAACAACCATAACATATTACTAATTGAATGATTTTTTCTCAGATTATCAAAATGTGGAGAAGCCATACCTACATAATCAAAATATATTCACTTAAAATCTCTCTAGCAGCAGAGAATTTGTACCGATAATCTGTTTGAAGGTCACGAATGCTTTTATATTAATAGAAAATTATCCCAAGTCGGAGACGATGGAAATTTTCTCTAAAACAAAAAAATGAGTGATACCGAGAAAAAAATATCGGAAATTAATTCTGCTACGTGGGAGATTCGGTAAGAAAATTGGATAAATTGGAGTTGCTTTTGATATGATGAGAAGACCTACGACTTGTAGCCATCTTACCTACGACCTATCCTGTGTAGATGTCAAATACAATTTGACACTTAGGTATAACTCGTTTTAATTACTCAAATCAGAGAAACATATTGAATAACAAATTTGTTGTCTGAAATCCAATGTCTTTATAGTTTTCAATTCAAATAAAATTTAAAAAAACATGTTTCCGATGAGTTTTAGTTGAATAAGATCGACGCACTATATTTTTATTATTATAGAAGTTGATTTTACTTGTTAAAGTATAACTATAAGGTTCATTACTAAAATTTCAGGAACATTAGAAACATCAATATATCTTCAACCATAATATCTCATATAACAAAATTACAATGTCT